TGTGCGTGCGGCGGGCAAGGGAGGCGTGTACGCGTAGTCTAAGTGCGTGGCCGCGCTAGTGGTTGGTGGTGCTGTAATGGTGTTTTTTGTTTGTCTGATAGTGTATGCGTGTTGAACGTGCCAGTGTCGTCTAGTGGTTAGGACGCGAGCTTCACACGCTCGAGATCGAGGGTTCGATCCCCTCCTCTGATATCTTCTTGGCTCTTTTGCCTCTCGTACCGCACTTTTGTTGCCGCTAGCTTTGCGAGGCTGACGTTGGCGCACCATACTCTCTGTCGCGTCAGCTGGACTTTGCATGCGTCGTTTTAATCCGTCGCCCATTGGAATGCCGAACAGGCCACCGCGGTCTGGCTCACCTTCGCGCGGTATGGATGTCATCTAGCAGAGTCCGATATGGCCTGTGCGACGTGCAAGAGGGTCTGCGACGTCCATATAAGCTCTGTGCAGCATGTGTAGCCGACGGAGTAAGCGACAAGCGAGACGCTGGGCCGTTCAGTCGGGTGTCCATTCTCGGACCGTAGGGCGGTGGTGATTGACGTAGTATGAATTTTTCTGAGTGGTCTGATGTGTGCGTGCGGCGGGCAAGGGAGGCGTGTACGCGTAGTCTAAGTGCGTGGTCGCGCTAGTGGTTGGTGGTGCTGTAATGGTGTTTTTTGTTTGTCTGATAGTGTATGCGTGTTGAACAAGTGTCAGTGTCGTCTAGTGGTTAGGACGCGAGCTCACACGCTCGAGATCGAGGGTTCGATCCCCTCCTCTGATATCTTCTTGGCTCTTTTGCCTCTCGTACCGCACTTTTGTTGCCGCTAGCTTTGCGAGGCTGACGTTGGCGCACCAATACTCTCTGTCGCGTCAGCTGGACTTTGCATGCGTCGTTTTAATCCGTCGACCATTGGAATGCCGAACAGGCCACCGCGGTCTGGCTCACCTTCGCGCGGTATGGATGTCATCTAGCAGAGTCCGATATGGCCTGTGCGACGTGCAAGAGGGTCTGCGACGTCCATATAAGCTCTGTGCAGCATGTGTAGCCGACGGAGTAAGCGACAAGCGAGACGCTGGGCCGTTCAGTCGGGTGTCCATTCTCGGACCGTAGGGCGGTGGTGATTGACGTAGTATGAATTTTTCTGAGTGGTCTGATGTGTGCGTGCGGCGGGCAAGGGAGGCGTGTACGCGTAGTCTAAGTGCGTGGTCGCGCTAGTGGTTGGTGGTGCTGTAATGGTGTTTTTTGTTTGTCTGATAGTGTATGCGTGTTGAACGTGTCAGTGTCGTCTAGTGGTTAGGACGCGAGCTTCACACGCCGAGATCGAGGGTTCGATCCCGTCCTCTGATATCGTCTTGGCTCTTTTGCCTCTCGTACCACACTTTTGTTGCCGCTAGCTTTGCGAGGCTGACGTTGGCGCACCATACTCTCTGTCGCGTCAGCTGGACTCTGCATGCGTCGTTTTAATCCGTCGACCATTGGGATGCCGAACAGGCCACCGCGGTCTGGCTCACCTTCGCGCGGTATGGATGTCATCTAGCAGAGTCCGGTATGGCCTGTGCGACGTGCAAAGAGGGTCTGCGACGTCCATATAAGCTCTGTGCAGCATGTGTAGCCGACGGAGTAAGCGTTGAGGTGGAGTCACGCTGGGCCCTTCAGTCGGGTGTCCATTCTCGGACCATAGGGCGGTGGTGATTGACGTAGTATGAATTTTTCTGAGTGGTCTGATGTGTGCGTGCGGCGGGCAAGGGAGGCGTGTACGCGTAGTCTAAGTGCGTGGTCGCGCTAGTGGTTGGTGGTGCTGTAATGGTGTTTTTTGTTTGTCTGATGATGTAAGTGTGGTGAGGGTGTCAGTGTCGTCTAGTGGTTAGGACGCGAGCTTCACACGCCGATATCGAGGGTTCGATCCCTTCCTCTGATATCTTCTTGGCTCTTTTGCCTCTCGTACCACACTTTTGTTGCCACTAGCTTGGCGAGGCTGACGTTGGCGCACCATACTCTCTGTCGCGTCAGCTGGACTTTGCATGCGTCGTTTTAATCCGTCGACCATTGGGATGCCGAACAGGCCACCGCGGTCTGGCTCACCTTCGCGCGGTATGGATGTCATCTAGCAGAGTCCGATATGGCCTGTGCGACGTGCAAGAGGGTCTGCGACGTCCATATAAGCTCTGTGCAGCATGTGTAGCCGACGGAGTAAGCGACAAGCGAGACGCTGGGCCCTTCAGTCGGGTGTCCATTCTCGGACCGTAGGGCGGTGGTGATTGACGTAGTATGAATTTTTCTGAGTGGTCTGATGTGTGCGTGCGGCGGGCAAGGGAGGCGTGTACGCGTAGTCTAAGTGCGTGGTCGCGCTAGTGGTTGGTGGTGCTGTAATGTTGTTTTTTGTTTGTCTGATGGTGTATGCGTGTTGACATGTCAGTGTCGTCTAGTAGTTAGGACGCGAGCTTCACACGCTTCGAAGAATGAGGGTTCAATCCCCTCCTCTGATATCTTCTTGGCGGTTTTGCCTCGAAGGACGGCATTTAATGTAGAATGTAGCTCAGCAGCAACACCGATACAAAAAGCCTGATTTGATGAGCCAACTCTCACATTTAGATATACGACAAATAATCTGTAGACAAGGGCAGTGCGAACCTCGTATCACGTGTAGAGTCAATTGACACAGTTACGGCACATGTACGATTATAAGATAATGGCAATAGGGCGGCCGCTTGTAGAAACCTTCGTCGCCCTCATCTCTAAGTAGACAGGTATGAGAGGTAGCATTTTCACTAATTATAGGTAAACTGTGGGCAGATGCTGCGCCTGCGAAGCAGACGCTGGAGTGGCATCAAAGCGCCAAGAACATACATAACGGAGTATACGAACTATACGGGCACTAATATGTGTCAGCTCAAGCACAACATCAATGTTGCCTGCTCTGCTATTAACCAAAGTGGCGCATTATATCCAAACTAGACCTTGGGAGGCGGATGGGAGGCGGAAGGGGTGCTTGGGGCTGGTGAGGAGAAAGCAAAAGTGCTGTTTCCTCCGACCAACCACTTTGTAGCCGAACACGTGACTGAGAGAGCCCCTTTTATAACACCCTATCTAATCTGATGCACCAATAAAGTGGTACGACAGGAAAATCTGATACACTCACCCCTCCTTTATTGAATAGATCGGCATACGTGGTCCTTATTGCTTGGTGTCCTGGCCGCAACTCTATTCCATGCGCACTGCAGCTCGTCCTCATTATTCAGCGTTTGTTGCTTCTTGAGTAAGTGCCTTCTTCACTGCGTGCCGCTGAGCGATACTAACTCGTTCGTTGTGACCTTGTTGTCCGTCTTGGTGCGTCTTGCTGCACAGGTTACCTCTGGAGCCGTACCGTCATTGAGGTGCTGCACAATGCCTGGACATCGTAGCCGCCCATGTCGTGTCGCCTGCAATGCATGCAGCTGTCTTGCGCAATCATCGGCTCCCTTTGAAGACTTGACAGTTTGAATACGGCTGATGAGTTGGCGCGCGGGCTTGGCAGCGCCGAGTGCTGCTGGTACTGTATGTGTCCTGGTCAAGTTGTGGCCGAACCTAGGTGGTCCACACCTCGTATAGTAGGTAGATCCTCAAAATCCCACTTCCATGAATCCACGAAAACCTTCCATCGTGTACGAAACACTCAATTGCGATAATGCTCTAAAACGGTTGTTTTGCTCTTGCTACGTTATGCTCGAATTTGAATATGTTAGCTTGTCCGTCGATCAACGTCGTTCGCACTCCAAGCAAAAACGTTCTCTACGGCCGCTGCGCTCGATGCACAGCTTGCTTCTCATCCCTTCATCACTACACTTGAGTTGTCATAGCCTCTTGATTGCGCGGTGCTGTTGCGTACTTGGCGTCATTAAGCTTCATCGTCACTTGAAAATATGTAGCTTCATGTTTTTGTAAGCACAGCCGAGGTCCATTGCTGATCTCTACCGTTGTTCAGACCGCAGTAGTCATGCACAATTTGCACCCCATGGGCGCTGTCCGTCACAAATGAGGTCCCTGTTTGGAAACGGAGCCATGTGCCGCCATAACGCACATCCAGATGTAGTTCTCAGCCCTCGGATCGGCCAAAAGATTACACTGGGATCGGGCTTGCGATCATGTTGGTGGCTTCTGCGACGATATGATGATCGATAAGATTGTCTGTAAGTGATCCCTCAACGACTCTGGGCTTCATCGCGCTGACCCCCGGTACCGACCAAAACGACTCCAAACTCTTGCTTGTGATGTACTTTGGCTTGTCTCATTCTGAGCCAATAGTTTCAAGAGCATACTTCACCACCATCTTGGCATACTTATTGTTCTCTCTCCGAGAGAAAACGTCAGCGTCCTCAGCCTGTCTTTTAGCGGCTTTAACTTCTGTGTTTCTGGCGCGGCGGCTCGACAGGAAAAACGATCTATTGCGAAAGGGCTTTCGCTATCCACAGCATCGTGAAGCTTAGAGTCATTAACCGGACTGCACTTTCCACAGGGAGTCGAAGTCTCCATCGTTGCGACCACAGCTAAGTCGGCCTTCTTGAAGCACCGATTAATCAAGTTAATTTTGGCTTGTACACCCACACTGAGCGGCATACCGAGAGTATGATCGAACTGCGCAACACTTGCGAGCATGACAGCAACACGCATGGTGTTTACGAAACCTTGCCGATGAACCTGCGCCGTCGCCAAGTTCCGAGCTGGATCGATTCTCATGTTGTCACCCAGTTCTATCCTGCTCGTTTTATTGGTGTCTTCGTGAGGCCTCATTACTAGCTTCTTAGTGATAGCTCGGGTCGCGCCTTAACATTGCTGCTGACCTCGCACCTGGTTTGTGCTTAAACTGCCTCACTGCTTCTTCAACCAAAACCAGCTTTAGAGTTTTGCAGGTGAGAGGGTCTTCACAAAGTGTACTCAACCTATTTTATTTTTACGCTTACAGCTTCTTCGCTAGCACCCACCACGTCAGGTCCCACTTTTACTGACGTGGTTGCTGGTTTCAATGGTCGTTCTTCAACTCGGCTCAGTCGCACTTGAAATGACCCGACTTTTCGCAGTGGTAACACACAGGACCTTCCTTGGTCTGCTCAGTGGGAGCATAGTGACCAGGCTTGTACGAGCGGTTGCTGAACGACTTCTTGTCAAATGGCTTCTTATTCAAGTTGCTCTTACTGGACCGTGAAAACGTTGCGCTTGATCCGGTTTCTAGGCCTGCGCTCTCCACCGAAGTGTGACATTTCATGCTTCACGGCTTGGTCCATCGCTTGGCTCAGTGTCTCTGGGTCATGAAGCTTGATGTAAGCTTGGCCGCTGGCTTGAGACCATCGCAGTAGTAGCTGATTTGGTCGACTTCGCTCATGTTCTCAACGCGAAAGATCAGCGACGAGTACTTCTCATTGTAATCCTTGATGTAATTGACCTGTCGGAGCTGGCGGAGCTTGTGACGCAATACAGCTTAGTAATTGAAGGCTTTAAAATGCGCAAAGGCATCGTGGGTAAATTGTCCCCACGCTGAAGTCCTAGAGAAAAAAACAGAAAGGAAACCAGCCCGACGCAGGTTCCTCCATCACATCAAGAGCAGCGCCGCCTTGCTGTCCGCCGCATCGTAGCCGTTGGTACGGCACAGTGTCACCACCTGACGGAGCCTCTGGTGTACGCTCTCGTCGCGCTTGCCCTTGAAGGGTAGACCGCTCGGAATTCGGGGCTTGGATTGCGTCGGAGACGAGCGTTGCGCTTGGCTTTTATAACGGAGAACGGCAAGCTCCACGCGTAGCTGTGCAAGTTGCGCTTCTAGGTTGACTTGAAGTCCTCCCTCCTCGGTTGCTGTGTCTTGGGCGGTATTGCGTGTCGTTGGCAGGGGCTAATGGTAACCAAATATCATATGATATTTTTGATAGTAATAGTACTATTTTCGATATTAAATATTAATAGTAACTCATTTTTGCAAAAGCTAACATAATATTTTTATATTAGCTCGGAGAACTGAAAAATATTAGATACTACATGATATTTTATGATATTTTCCCACTTAAGTACGTTTCTTGCCAGCTTAACCGAGCGGAGCCAAATAACTTTTTCGATCAGGTTCTAGAAAAGCAGTAGGCTTTAAGACTGACGAGTATTTGCTCTAGTATTTCACTGTGACACAGACAAAGGCGATCGAGATGGAAAACTGCAAACGCTTGCAGCTGTTTAACGTTGATAGAGCGAAATCAAGACATTTGTTCTTGTTCTCTTCCGATCTCCTCGTCGACATCGTGCGTCTAATAAACCTGCTGCCTGTGGCGCTAGATTAATGCGCTCAGCAGTGCCAACACACAACGCCAACCTTGCCGTCACTCACAATTGTCCCGGTACTCACGGTTGATTAGTAATACTTCAGCTAGTCGAGCGTTAACGACATCTGATTAGTTAATGTAGCCCGATTACGCAATCATTGAAAAATATAATATCGTATTAACTAATATTAAGTTGATATTTAATAATATCATATTGTCTCAAAAGAAAATATTAGGTGATATTTTTTATATTAACTGGTCTACAGGTGATATTTTCACAATATTAACTTCACCGATTTTGGAGTTACCATTAACCCCTGGTCGTTGGGGGCATAATCGTCGAATCAGACTAGCAAGTACTACTGGTACAGTCGTGCACCTCCAATTCGACACCGGTATCAGTCGATACCCTGCCAGATTTTATGATTACGCGAATCGGATGCGCAATTACCTTTGCCCATCACCACCCTAGCAATTAACCTTAACGGTTTTCCCCTCCTCGCCGAGGGATGACACGCCGCATCGATCTGATTTTAAATTTTGGATCGGACGTCTTCATACAAACACACACTTTGATTTTTTACCGCCAAGAACAATGGGACATCGCCCTTCCTCCTACATGTCCCACAAAAGCAGTATTTGTGCGTGAAGCACAAGTCAGATCCTGCATGCTCTCACTCCGAGCTTGCTCGTTGGGCAACGGAGCGCTTTAAGACCCCCCAAGCAGTAAAGCGCACTACCGTCCAGAATATTCTTAAGCGGTCCGCGGAAGTTGCCGCCTTGCCGGACGCCTATCGCGACCGGAAGCGCTGCTGCGCGCCCGCGATTCGAGCGTCTGACGCCAAGATTATGCAGAAGATTGGCGTAAATTTTGTACTGAATTAACAAATAAAATATCAGTGTACTGGATTTGTGTTTGTTTTTTGCTTTACGTTGTGCACTTATGCCCTGGCACTGTTGATATGGTCCGCCCTGTCGAATTGGAGGTGCACGACTGTATATCAAAACTAGCCTAATATCCTATCTAATCCGATATAAAACTAAAGTGATACGTCAGGCACATCTGATTCACCCTTGGACAGAACGTTTCATCACAAGAAAAATACATTTGTTTTTGATTTATTATAACTGCTAAATTAAAACAAAACCCGCTGCTTCTCAAATTTCAGCAAAGCCGCGTGCACGCGGCTTTGCTTATACATGTACGTGTGCATGCAATCCATTCTTATTGTTCGTATGAAGTGCCATACGGCAAGGCTGAACACGAATCTCTTGATTTTCGAAGGTTCTCGAGTACGCGTCGTATACAGGAAGTAACGGCGGTCAAACCCTAATATCGTTGACATTTTATTTCATGTGCTTATACAGGACCTCACTATAAGTACTGAGGTAGCTGAAACGAAGTGACGTTCACTATTTTGATTGGGTACCGGAGCAGAGGCTCCGGGGATCGCAGTTCGAACCCTGCAAAAGATGTGAACGGTGGCGATGAGGGGGGTAGTAGAAAAAGGTGTTAAGTAACGGTGCTAAGTAGATGTTGTTAAGTAGATGTTTGGTTAGACTTAAATTGCGCATGCTTGTGTCAGTTAGAGAGAGAGTAAATGTGTGTCAAGTTTGTCGTAGATCTTTTTTCGAGATGCATGCGTAGGCTGTTGAAGATGAATGTGGTGGAATCACGGTGGGGTCACTGTCCCGATGTGATATACCTTGGTTTCGACCTGGCAGCAGTGGCGGTACAAGCGTAGTTTGGTTGGTACGAAAACGGTAATGGAGCCAAGGGACGGGATACTTGGGTTGTCAGCTGCAATGTCGTACAACGACAGAGTGATTAGGAATTGGCTGGCGTGGAAGAGATCGTCGCGCTGTGCCTGTTGGTATTGCTGCAGAAGCGTTGGTACGGATGTGCTATATATATTGAAGATTGTACTGGAGACTTACCGTTTGTTGTTCGTGGAGTGACTCAGGCGCGCTTTGTTCGCCGAGGTAGAGACGCAGGAAGCGTAGGCCGTGAATGTATTCGTTGACAGTCCATAGTAGGCGCGCTTGGATTTGTATGGACTCGCGAGTGTCTGAGTTTGTGACGTCGTTGTTCTGGATGAAATCGCGTAAATCTACTGACAATTGATTGTGTTAGTACTAAAACAAGAGTTAGTAATTAGGATATGTACCGTCAATAGTGTCGATAATGCGGCGCTTCTGGTGTTGCATTGATTTCTTTATCTTCTTGATGAGCGACACGTATTCTGCGTCAGGTCGCTTGTGTTTTAGCGGTGTGGGTGTCACGCGAAGTGTTGCAGGTGACAGTATGCGCGACGAAGATGGCGCTGGTTCGGGTACGACTGTCACTAGCGTTGGTGTTGCGGGTGCTGTCGCTGACGTAGTTGTTGTCGGCATTTCGTGCTTGGATGATCTGATGGATGGCATGGGTGATTGGTGTCTGGGCGGAGCTGCGCAAATTGAGGTATGGCCTGTGTTGCTGTTGAATCTGTGTATTTCCACGAAAAGTCGTGTTATCTCCCTGCTTCCTCGTCGCACATAGGTAGGATATTAAACTGCATGTTATATGTGGGAGAAGGTTGTGGTGCGTTAAAGATGAATTCTTCAATGTGAGCGCATGTGAGAGAGGAGGTGTCGTTGTCGAATGATTTCGACGATAGGTCGCTAACAGTATTGGTGTTTTGATAGCGAGACATGGAGGGAGCGCTCAAGTTAGTTCGAGTTGTGGCGGCAAATGTTGCTGTTGGGGGAAAGTGGATTGTGTGTTCGAAGGTAAGGGGCATTATGTTTATAGTTTTGAATCCGTTGGTAACAGTTTGTGTTCACGTATCAGGGAGAGATCTCGGTTTGAAACTGTAAAATTGATGAGGACACAAAATATGGATGTGGCAGTGACTGCATTAATCGCGCGGTACGTGGTGTAGGAATTGTATCCAAATATGTTGATATCACTGACGAGGTGTGTGGCAGATGCGGTATGAATGCGCACTGGAGTGCTGTCCATGTGGAAAACGATGCTCGAATCGGCAATTACAAGTCGGATCGGCACTTGTGTCAGGTGTAATTGACTGTGGTCGTAAAGGCCTCGGCGTGATCACGTTGGAGGATGCCAAAGCTGGGCAATTTGTGGGTGACGTTGGTGAGGTACTGAGCAAAAGTGAAGCCATGATGCGCTGTCAGGTGCGGATTTCGAAGCTATTGGCTGCTGTAGAAAATGGTCACTTGACTGTAATGTTTAGGATTATCAAAAGATGAAGCATGTGTACATGCTTCAGGTAAGCGCTGATAAGTTATCGATGCCACACGAATCGGTGGATGTATGCGGTTTGTGAATCATAGCTGCGACCCAAACTGTCAAATGGAGAAGTGGAATGTACGTGGGCAAGAGCGTGTGGATTGTTTGCGATTCGTGATGTTAGGTGTGGTAACGAGCTTACGTTCGATTATCAGCTGCAATGCGTTGATTTTGGGGTGCGTAACATTCGTATTGACGCACGTTTGAGGCAGTGCTGATAATGATTGTTGTAGAATTCTATTGAGTGTCTATGTGGTTCTCGGAATTGCAGAGGTATTATCGGCATGTCGATCGAGAAGCGATCAATTAGACGGCAGCGGTGTGTTGAATCAGAGTCGAAAAGACGAATGGTACAACTCACCATCGACGATTTTTTTCGAAGCAATAGTTGGTCTACTGGGCTTCCCGTAGCCTATGGCAATACACTCAACTTAGCACTGTGCAATTACCCTTATCTGTATCTGTTTTCAGTCACACTGTCCATCTACTAGATGAATAGATGACACTTTGTGAGTCTCTACAATATATGATATTTTGTGAGTCTCTTGCCTCGTTGCGGCAAGAAAAAATGACGGTGCAGAGACTCACAGTTGCCAGATTGTTTTATCATTGATCCCGATGTTTAAACATCACAAACTACACTAGACAGCTTTCTGGTACCTCACCACGTGACCGACCAGATAATGTAGGCGCTCACACGTTGAAGGGTAAGCTCTCGCTTGTCAATAACGTTTTCCAACTGCGCGGTGTAATAAAGACGTTCTAAAGGAACACGTCCTGTACCTAGTTTATTTGCATCGGATAGTTTGTTTGTCGTACGCGTGAGACTAGATAACTATGTTTCAAGATGATGTGAAGGTTCTTCATTTTGCAGCAAACGGCATGAGGCATTCTCAGCAACTACAGTGCAGAGCAGAAGACGGCGGGCCGACGTCGCCGAAATGCCGAAGCCGCGCGTCGATACCGTGCTCTATTAACACCTGGAGATCGCAAAAGGCACCGATAACAGGCGCTTGTACGACGTCGAAAGAGGCGACAGCTTTCGACTGCACCTTCGACATCAATGCCAGCACCTAGGCGAGCATCTTAATCTGCTACCGCTGTTGTAAACGAGGATGACGCGCACTCAACGGTTGCATGGGGAGCCAGCGACGTCCCGCAACGGCTACCAGCTTCTTCAGTGACTTAAGGAAGCGTACTGGAACAACTGCGTGGAGCGTTGGACGCGTCGGGATGGGACGAGACAGTGTGCACAGTGTGC